TGCCGTAATTAGATTGTTCTACTCTCAGGTTTTAGTTTTAGTTCTATGGAATCAAAAATCAAATATATATATAGATTCATATATTTAAAAAATACATATATTTGCAATTTAATTACAACCAGTATCTCAGTCAACTCATTCGAAAGGACCGAGCACCATCAATTTGTCCGTGAAGAGACGAGATCATAAAATTTGATAAGAAGGCTTCTAAACTAACTATTCACCCGGTGAATTTTTTGAGACCCATGAATGGGTTTTGGTATTTGTTCTTGACCTTGATGCTCGTGTCTTCACGACTCTAATCCTCGCACCAACAACCTTTCTGATCCGGCCTAACAGGCTCGGGAGCCTCCTCGCATTCATCGTGGGTATCGGGCACATTACAGGGATCCTCCTCTACCACTGGGCACTTGGGCTCGGGCTTGTCGTGGAGGACCGGCTCGGGCTCCCTGTGCTGTGGCTTAACACTAATGAGCGCCAGACCTGCGGCCAGCAGCAGAGACATCGCTATGGCCACATAGCCGGTGGTATATATCTCTGGCTTGGTGAGGAACATGTTCAGATACCAGATCAAGTGGCGTGTGCCAGCCATCACGTGGTAGCTAAAGGGCACCATTAGGATGAACTTGAGAGCCGTGAACGTCACCCCGCCGAGGTTGAGCGCCTCAACTTTCTCTGCCAAGGCATTGATGTCCAGCTTGCACAATAGGGCCGTCAGGCCAATTATCCAAACTGCGAGGCCCAGTGTGGCTCCGCTCGCCCGCAGAAATATGGACATCACCGAGGTTAATTGCTTTCTGTAGATGGTCAAATGTGGCGAGAGCGCCCGGCCCAGCTTCATGTTCTTCTCGTCGTAGTTCAACTTATTCTGAACAGCCGGCACTATTCGCATCCCCAGCTTACCCGTCGGAGCAGACGGCGGCTTCTTGCTGTCGCCTCCTTTCGCCTTCGAGTAGTGCGCAATTTGCAATATTGACAGCCTGCCCATGCCGAAGCTCTGCGAGTATCCCAATAGACAAGTATTAGCTATGTGGGCGCATCGTTTTATTGGTGTGAACGACTTAAAATATCTGAAAGACTCATCTGATTAACAGGCCCTCGATTTCCATCCGTATTCGTATGGCTACTTACTTGGGGTACATTCTGAAAAACTTAAGAAATATGTGTGTAAAATCTTAATTTATGTTATTTTCAAGAAAACTACATGTGTTATGTAACGAGGTATTTAACTTTAACTCACATTTCCATTCGCCAGCACGCTGCGATCCCCAAAATTGTATAGGCTCGGCAAACATCTGTCTATTGATAGTGTTTCTTGGCTTGTAGGTAAAAGAAAAATGTGAAGAGAGATACAAACAAGTCGGGAATAGGTGACTTTATAATGTCCTGCGCCATGTGGACACACTGTTGGCATACATGCAAATACACTTACCCTGGGAATATAAGATTCACTAATTATCATTATGATAATTAAAAATAAAAAAA